ATACTTACGACCACTTTATCTGCGCGCTCCCTATCGAAGAGCCTGCTCCAGGCTGAGGGCCGAATTTTAGCGCCGCCTAGTGAGAGGCGTTCTCGACACAAAAACTCGGCCCTCCTACCTCGTCAGCTTCTTGTCATCCGTGTGTGCGTGCCAGCTGATCGCGCTTTCCGGTTTCAACGCGTTCACGCTGTAAAATGTTTTTCTCTGTGTAAAGGAAGGAGTCCAATACGTTACTTAGTTTGTTTGTTTTGTTGTTTTTTTTTAGTTTGCGCAGCCAACGCCAGAGAGGCCAACATAACCTGGTGCAGCGCGGAAAAAGGCAAAAAAGAATACCGAGTTCCAGGCCCCGCCACCGACGCGCGCTGAAACTCGGCCCTACGAGAGGTGCGTGCTGGAGTGTATCTACAGGGTGAAACAAGGAGACGGCAGGCTCTTTAAATCGACCGCAAAATTCGGTTTCTTAACCTATCACGCTACGATTTTGTGCAACGTTGCCCACAGATGCTGCATTTTTTTTTTTTTTTGTAAAATTTGCAAAAAGTGAACTTACCTGAGGAAAAAGTAAAGAAAGAAATAGGCTTAGCTCCTATGGAAACGCAGCGACGCCACCGGTCTTCAAACAACACGGCGCCGTTTCGCACGGGACACAAGAGATGGCGCAACGAACGCCGCCAACGAACGAGCATACGGCGCCGAGAGCCAGCGTCTTTAGCAGACAATCTTTTCGACTCAAAAGCGGCGCGCGTTCCGCAGGCGGCGACAGTCACAGAAACAAAAACAGGCGTGGTAACAACAAGGAACTGCTGTTCCTTGTCTGCTAAATACGCCGACTCTCGGCGTCGTCTGCTGGTTCGTTGGCGGCAGTTGGCGTAGCGATCGCCTGCGCCATCTCTTGTCTCCCGTGCGAAACGGCGCCTGAAGACCGGTGGCGTCGCTGCGTTTCCATAGGAGCTAAGCCTTCTTCTTTCTTTACTTTTTCCTCAGGTAAGTTCGCTCTTTGCAAATTTTACAAAAAAAAAATGCACTAACTGTGGGAAACGCTGCACAAAGTCGTAGCGTGATAGGTTAAGAAACCGATGTTGGTTGGAAAACGTTTATTGTCAGAAAAAAAAGAAAAGTCTTGCGACTGAAGTCTTTAGACTTTAAAAAATGTGAGGGGAGGGGTCGCGCAGGTACAGGAGCTTGCTACGCGGTGCCTAGATGAATCTTTTTATTCCTGTAGAGGCGATGAAGTCTAGGAGACTCTTAAGCAGCTCCTTATTGCGTTCAATATCTTCTAACGCTTGTAATGGTTGGGTCCATTCTTCATAACTTGTTACCCTTGCTGAGGTCTTATGCTTCATCCTCTTTTCTTTCCAACACTCGCATTCCCAAAGCATATGCCTTAGGCTTCCTGTAGTCTGTTCGCAGAAGGGGCGGCCGCTATCTTGGCTTATGCCTTTTCTACTAAGCATACATGGGTCGTTCGTGGCTTCAGAGTGCAACCTCCTAATGCAAACCCTTTGCCACCTACTGAGCCTCATTGTTGGTAGGGCAGGAGGGATAGGTTTAAGGGCATTAAGTCTGGCCCTTCTTCGTTCCTTATTGACGTCCCTGGCCTCGTGAGGAGCGAAATCAAACGGGTCCCGTTGCTCGACGGGCACGATGGCTGGAAGCGTCGATTGGTGGCGATAGTATTGGAAGATTATCTCCGCCTTGGCTTCCCGCTCGGCCCTGTCTTGTCCAAGGATCCCTGAGTGACCGGGAACCCACTCCAGGTAGAAGTTGGTGTCCTTGCTTCTTGCTTCTTTGATGTTTATCATGATCTTTTGTGCTGCCTTGCCCATGGTGCATGGGTTTCGAAGTTCCTCGATGGCCTCTCTAGAGTCCGAGAAGAGGTATATAGTCTCCTTTTCTTCATGGCAGTGGCTCTGTATGGCGTCGGCCACTGCTTCTAGTTCGGCCCTTTTCACGTGGGTTCCTTCTTCCAGGAGCCTTCGCCCATAGTTGTTCTTTGTCGTGTTAAACCATGCACAAGCCGCTTTTCCCTCCTTAGTAACTGTTGCATCGGTGTAGATGACCTGGTGTGATGGAAAGATGCTGAATAAAGGACGAAGAACCCGAGGACGGCGAGTAAAAGAAAGAGAGGTGTATTATGTACAGAAGAAAAAACGAAAATAGATGACGTATAGTCTCACTCGAGTCAGGCACCGCACCTTCACGTCGTCGTCGGTGGCGGCCACGGGTGCTGCCTTCTGGGTCGGCTTGGGGAATGTTTGCTTTCCGGCGTAGGCGGCGGTCCTCTTGGCCAGGGCTAGCTCTCACGGGCCTCTAGCCGCCCGTCCAGAACCAGTCGTTGCTGCCGTCGGGACCGCGGGAGCCCACCGATGTCTTTTTTAGCGTCGCAGTTGCCGATCTGCCTTCAGAAGCCCCCTTTTTCACGCGCACCACACTGTCCGGCCCCACTTCGACTTCCTCTCTTCTCGCTTCCATAGTCCACCTCACCACACGACCCCCCCTTTAAGACAATTGTTCCAATTGTTTCAAAAAGGGACAAACAAACAATCAAACCAAAAACATAAGAGTAAGAAACATCGCACTACTTTTCTAAGTTAAACTAAGTAATTTGGCTGGTGTTGACACTCACTCAGCTGGCTTTTCGCGTTCTCACGTCCCAGTTTCGCAAGCCATCATATTGCTTGTGTTTACCAAACTTGCTTGTGTAAGCCATGTTTTCATCTTGTCATAGAATACACAAAGGGATGGACAGGCCTTCACGATGACAGTGATGTGCCAGTGCAGATTACAAGCGACTCAAAAAGTCTGCTCCAAAGTTTTCGCTTCCCTTGATGTACGCGACGTGGAAGTCGTATTCGGCGAGTAGTAAACTCCACCTCAGTACCCGGTTGTTTAATTTTCTGGCTGAATTAAGGTACTGCAACGGTTGATGATCGCTTTGTATGGTGAAGTGTCTTCCGAACAAGTATACATGAAACTTTTTTACTGCCCATATGAGAGCTAGACATTCTCTCTCTATGGTGGAATAGGCGACCTCTTGGGGTAGTAGTTTACGACTAGCATAAGCGTTGGGATGAAGAACGTTGTCGTGCTCTTGCATGAGCACGGCTCCCAAGGACCTTTCTGAGGCGTCTGTCCTCAGTACGAATGTCTTCGTCACATCTGGTGATTTCAAGATAGGCTTTCTGGAAAGCAGTCTTTTCAGTTCATCGAATGCCTTTGCGTGTTTCTTCTCCCAGATAACTTTGTCAAACGCTCTTTGTTTCGTCAGCTCCGTCAAAGGAAGTGCGGTCTCCGCGTAGTTTGGGATAAACTCCCTGTAGTAGCCTGTTAATCCCAGGAATGATCTTACTTCTTTTTTGGTTCGAGGTTGTTTACAGTCCTGGATTTTCTCCAGGGTCTCCGTCAGAGGCTTGAAGGATCCTTGCCCAACCTTATGGCCCAGGAATGTTATTTTGGAGAAGCCAATCTCTGTCTTTTTGGGTTAGATCGTTAGTCCTCCTTCTCTTACCCTGGTCAAAAACTGACGCACTGCTTTTAAGTGATCTTCCCAGCAGTCAGACGCAACTAAAACATCGTCAAAGTAGTGGTGATCGTCCGGTACGCCATCAAGAATCTTCCTCATCAACCGTGTAAATACTGCCGGGGCTGTTTTGATGCCGAAGGGCATAAACCGGAATCGATATAATCCCGTTGTTGTCGAGAAAGCCGTTGCGTCTTCTGACCCTGGAGCCATTGGTACCTGCCAGTAGCCCTTCGCAAAGTCAAATTTGGAGTAGTAACGTTTTGTGCTCACTCTAGCGAACATCACGTCGAAGCGGGGGATAGGTTTGCAATCAGGTACTAGAACCTTGTTCAGCTGGCGAAAGTCGATGCAGAGCCTTGTGATCTTGTCTTTCTTTTTGACGACAACTACCGGTGAACTGTAGGCTAAGTCGCATTTCTCAATAATGCCTTGTTGTAGCATCTCGTCTACCTCCTTTTCCACAGCGTCTTGCAGTGCTAGAGGGACAGGATACGGGCGTACTTGAATTGGTGTGTCCGTTGTCAATCTCAGTTTGCACTGTACGAGACTGGTTCGACCAGGACAGTTCAAAAATACGTCTCGAAATTCTTCTAGCAGTTGGTAGACCTCTCCTGCTTGTCGTTCAGTTAGCTCCTCTGACATCTGTACATCGTTGTAGCCTTCCAGTTGGCTAAGGCAGACACTAGGAATGTCTTGCTCCTCTGACTCCTCTTCGATGGTAATGCCAACCAGGGCTTGACGGGGAGCACATAGAACTTCCCTTTCTTCGTACTTTTTGAGCATATTGATGTGAAATACAGTAGACACTCTTCCAAGGTCTATTAGGTAATCCACGTTATTCCTCCTTCTTAATACTGGAAATGGTCCTTTCCATTGCAGAATCAACTTGTTTTTGTCCGTTGGCAACAAGGTGAGGACTCTGTCTCCCTCTTTCAGTTGTCGAACTCCACTTTTCTTGTCGTAGTACCTCTTTTAAGTCATTTGAGCTTTCCTCAATTCCTCATGGGCGGTCTTACAAGTCTCTTCTAGTCTCCGTCGAAGATCCACCATATAACCATAAGTTGTTTTCGTTGGGGGTCTATGCTTTCATTTGTCCAGAGTTCCTTCAACACTGTCATCGGACCGCGAACATGTCGGCCATAAAGAAGTTCGAAGGGTGAAAATCCTAGGCTGCTTTGCGGCACCTCCCGGTACGCGAAGAGCAACGGATTAAGATACCGGTCCCAACACCTCGGTTTTTCTTGGCACATCCGTTTAATCATTTGTTTAATTGTCCCATTGAACCTTTCGACCAATCCATTGCACATTGGATGGTAAGGCGTCGTGGTCAGATGTCTGAGCGAGAGCAAGCGGCTGACCTCCTTCATTAAGGCTGAAGTGAAGCATGACCCTCGGTCGCTCACAATTTCTCGTGGTAAGCCTACTCGGGCAAATATCTGTAACAGACCCTCTGCGACTTCCGCGGTGTCAATGCTCTTCAATGGGATTGCATCAGGGTATCTGGTGCGAAGTCCACCACCGTCAGAACATACCTGCTGCCGGACTCTGAACCCGGATTGATAGGTCCGATGATATCTATGCCAACTCTATGGAATGGTGTACTAATGATAGGCATATTTTCTAGGGGTGCCCTGATAACCAAGTGTTTCGGGATAGTCCTCTGACAAATGTCGCACGATTTCACGAATCGTTTCGCGTCCGCTGTTATTCCCGGCCAATAGAATTCCTCACGAATACGATCGGTGGTTTTTCCTGTTCCTTGGTGGCCAGCCATGATCCCCTCGTGTGCGAGCTTCAACACAATCTGCCGAAATTCTTTGGGGACCACCAGCTGTTTCCACTGTTTTTGCGACGAGTCCTTGTATCTACTGTAGAGAATATAGTTGTGTAGAAAGAACTCGGATTCCTGCGATTTTCCCGACACAAACGCTGTGCCAACGACAGCGAAACACCTCTTCAGTGTTTCATCACTACGTTGTGCCTCCTTCAGCTTAGCGTGGTCAATGTCAATCCGATCCAATGTCATGACTGGTAACTCGGAAATCGTCCTTTGGCTGTCTGAGCGCCCCTTTCTGAGCGCCCCTGCGTATTTTCTTTCTTTATCCAGAACACCGTCGTCTGGCACCCTTTCACCCTCGTCTTGAGTCATCCTGCCGGCAGTCTCGTGCCGCACGGACGTGCTTATCAGCATGTTACTCTCCTCACTTCTTTTAGATCTCCCTGATCCTTCTCCCTCCCATTCCTCATCTGGATCATCAATCCCTCTCGCCCCTTCAATGTTCCCGAGTACCAAATCATACAGAGGGTTCTCCATACACTTCGCCAATACCTTGCCTGTAAAATAAGGCGTTCTTACTTCAATTTCTGCCTCTGGCAGATATTTGACCGTCCTATCCAGCAAAAACACCGGACTGGAAACCCCAGTTAGCTGATCATCCGTAACCAGGTCTCTGTTCACTACAATCGTGTTACACCCACTGTCTCGCAATACTGTGGCAGCTCGATCTCCCACTTCTCCCCGAACCACTGGCATGTTTTCTACTAGAAATCGTGGAGCCTTTCCAAGTGCCGCATTCACCACTGGGATTTTGTCCCCGTTTTTCAGTAGTACATATGTGTCATCTGGGTCGGTCTCGTCAGGTGTTGGTCGAACGGAAAGCATACAGGAAGCCTGAGGAGGTCTATCCTGCTTGTCTTGCGGTTTCCAGTGACATGCTGCTGCCTTGTGTCCCGTTTTCCCACATCTCCAACACACGGGTAAGCGTTGAGCCTTGGTGCTCGCCCAGCAGTCTGCTGCCTTGTGACCTGGCTTGTTGCAGAGAAAACATTGATTCCTCCCCCTAGCGGTGGGTGGCATTCGGGTATCCTCCTTACTTCGATCTCCACCCTTGTTGCTGTTCAGGCTGTCGTTGTTCCTTTTTGCCAAGTTAGTTTGGCCCTGCGCCTCTAAGAAGTGGTCCGCGGTTACTGCCATGTCTTCGAGCGTCTTGCAGTTCCTCTCTTTTAAGAAGACTGATAGCATTGGGTGACAATATTTTAAGAACTGTTCCGCAACTATCAGATCTTTCAGGGCCTCGAACGTCTTCGAAATTTCTCCAGTTTCAACCCAGCGATCAAAGTACCCAAGAAGTCGGGCTGCAAATTGTTTCCCCGTCTCTGCCTCCTCTGGCTTGCTTTCCCTGAATTTCTCTCTGTACCCTTCAGTGGTGTAACGAAACCGCTGTAGCAGGGAAAGTTTGACTTTAGAATAATCCAATGACTGCTCTGGTGTCATCCGACCCACAACTGTCAAAGCCTCACCGGTGAGGCACAAGCTTAAGGACATTGCCCATTTTTCTCGAGGCCAATCCTGGCTAGTTGCAACCCGCTCAAACCGTTGGATATACGCGTCCAGGTCGTCTCTCTTTTCATTAAATGGTGGAATTAGTTTGTGGGGACTCCGGTGACAAGTTTGTGCTCCCGAGTTCTCTCCCCTGCCATTGGTGTGGTGGACCTCATCATGAGCTGAGCCGCTATTCTCTTGTAAGCGCAGGCGCAGCTGTAACACTTCTTGTTCCTGTTGGAGCCTGCGGAGCTCTCGGTCAGCGGTGTCCTGTGTCTCCTTAGCTGCTTCCCGCGCATCTTCCCGCAATCTGACCCGTTCTTCGCGTTGCCTACCATGCTCTTGCTCAACCCAGGTACGGAGTTCTTCGCCCACGTACCCGAGCTCTTTACCAACGCCAAGCAATTTTTCTGCATCCATGCTCTTATCTCTCCCACACAGCCGTCCCGGGGTTCCGCTCTCTAGGGGTTGTTAACAAATAGAGAGTCCTGTCGCGGACGCCAGATATTGTGATGGAAAGATGGTGAATAAAGGACGAAGAACCCGAGGACGGCGAGTGAAAGAAAGAGAGGTGTATTATGTACAGAAGAAAAAACGAAAATAGATGACGTATAGTCTCACTCGAGTCAGGCACCGCACCTTCACGTCGTCGTCGGTGGCGGCCACGGGTGCTGCCTTCTGGGTCGGCTTGGGGAATGTTTGCTTTCCGGCGTAGGCGGCGGTCCCCTTGGCCAGGGCTAGCTCTCACGGGCCTCTAGCCGCCCGTCCAGAACCAGTCGTTGCTGCCGTCGGGACCGCGGGAGCCCACCGATGTCTTTTTTAGCGTCGCAGTTGCCGATCTGCCTTCAGAAGCCCCCTTTTTCACGCGCACCACACTGTCCGGCCCCACTTCGACTTCCTCTCTTCTCGCTTCCATAGTCCACCTCATCACACCTGGGTGTTTTCTTTTTTCTGGAGTTTTTTAACTCTCCTCAGGTGCTTCATCCCCGCAGTTTCCCTGTCCCTGACCTGGTCTCTTTTGTCTGGTACGTCTGTTTTGATTAGCGCCGATTCCCAGGGGGGAGGTTCCTCCTCTGGTTCCTCCATTTGTGGACATATGTTCCTCATTTTAATGAGTATCGCGCGCCCTGCCTTGGTGCCGTGAAGCCGAACTTTTCGGGTTGTGGCCGATTCTTCCGCCACGTCTTCAATTTCGTTTAGCTCTGCCCATTTTCTTACTTCCTCTTTTCGTGCATGCTTTAGTAAACCCATGACTACTCTTTGTGCTTTTCGCATAAGGGTCTTGATTGACTCTTTCTGACTTGAACTTAGTGTGGTGTAATTGAAACCGTAAGTCGCCTTCGACACCAGGAAAGCCTTCGACACCAGGAAAGCCTTAATGAGCATTCTTAGCGTTTCTTCGTTGGCTCCCCATGACTTCGTTGCTGTTCTTCTGATAATACTTAGAGTATGGTTCCAGTTTTTTGTAAGCGCTTTAAGCCAATCGTTCGCTTTTCCGTTCTGGAATATGTGCATCCCTAAAATTTTTGTTGACTCTGTCGGTTACAGCCTTGTCCCTGCCAAACAGAAGATATGCTTGCATTCGTGTTTTTTTCTTCCTCCAGGTGTGGCGATCAGGATGAGAGCCGTCTTGTCTGGCGCTGCCTGAAGGCTCACTTCATGCGTGAATTCTTCGATCGCCTTCAATCCTTCTTTGATTGCGTCTGCTTGGCGGTCGTAAACTCCTCCCTTTGTCCAGAGGGTGACGTCATCTGCGTATATGGTGAAAGATAGATTCTTGATATTGTCCAGTTTCCAGGCCAATCTAGACATAACTATGTTGAAAAGGGTTGGTGATAAAATTGCCCCTTGCGGTACTCCTATGTGGTTTCTCTGTGTTGGTCCCCTTTCTTCTCCGACGCATACCGAGTACGTTCTGTCCCTCAAGAATTCTTCGATGAATTTGAGCATGTTGCCTTGAATACCGCAGGATCTGGCACCCTTTAGGACAGAGGAATGTGGAACTAAGTCGAATGCTTTTCGAATGTCTACCGCGACCAGTATTTTTGGAGTTGCAGTAGGCTTTTTACTGGTGAGATCGTGATGCAGAAGAGCTAAACTATCCTGTGTGCAAAGTGCCTTTCTGAAGCCTGTTTGCATAGGATGTAGCCTGTTTTCATGCTCTAGAGTCCAATTGATTCTGCCGAGCACCATCCTCTCCATCGTCTTGCAGATGTTTGACGTCAGCGATATGGGCCTTGGGTTTTCTATCTTGTCCTTGGGTTTATTTGGCTTGGGGATGGGCACCACGACCGAGTGTTTCCAACTTCCTGGTAGTTTTCCGTCTTCCCATATTTCGTTAAAGTATCTGAGCAGAGCTCTCTTGGCCTCTTCCGGAAGGTTTTTTAGCATCGCCGTTGTGATGCCATCGGTTCCCGGGGCTGTGCCCTTTTTAGCCTTCTTGATAGCGTAGTCGAGTTCTTCTCGAGTAAATGGCTAATCTTGTCCTTCCCTGCTTTCTCCAACGTCAATTGTTTCTTTTCTTTGCAGCTGCGGTTGTGGAAAAAAGGTTTCTCCTAACTTTTGAGCTAGTTCCACTTCCGTAATGTTGAGCTTCAGGGCTAGGTTGCTTGCCGTGTTTTTTCCTTTCTTTTTTCCTAGCATCGTTCGGTACGTACCCCATAGCTTCTTGACGCTTGTTTTATTGTTGAAAGTCCCACAATGTTGTTCCCAAATATGTTTTCTGAGATTTCTTGTGTACTTTTCTACTTCCCTTGAGGCCTGATTCAGTACTTTCCGTCTTTCTTCATTCTTTTTCCTTCTGTACCTCAGCAAGGCTTTATGTCGCCCTTCCTGCAGGTTTAGGAGATGATTGTCCGGGTTTGGGGAGCCTTCTTTGACTATAATTCTTCGTGTGGCCTCATCAGCAGCTTCTTGTATGAGATCTGTAATTGTCTTTTGTTCGATGGTATTAAGCTTAGTTGTTAGTAGACTCCTAAATTTGTCCCAGTTAATGACGCCGACTTCTCTCTTTTTCATGGTCTTGTTGTGTAGCATAATGGCGATGGGTGCGTGATCGCTACCCCATGGATCATCTAGGATTTGCCAGTCCGCTTCTGAGAGTCCTTTAATCCATGAACTGTCCGGAGATGAATCGGATTGGTACTTGTTCCCCATTCTCGTAGCTTGTCCCGGCTGATTAGCGCAGAGAAATCTGTTTTTTCGCATTTGCTGTTTTAGTTGCTCTCCTCTTTTGTTGGATAGGTTGCCCCAGAGTTCATGTTCTGCGTTGAAATCTCCCCCTATAAATGTTTGGTCTTCCGTGCAGTTGTTGACCCACCTGAAACTCTCGTCCCCCATGCTTGGTCTTGTGTAGAAAGAGTAAATAAAGATTGTTTTCTGTCCCATTGTAAATTTAGCGCCCGCAACCTCCTGATCTTCTCCACAGCCCCATGATGTATCAATTTGACTTTGCGGGTGCTCCTCTTTAATTAAGATTGTGGCTAATTCTTCTTTTTTCTGTTTTGCTTGGTTCGTGATTGCCGTGCAAACATTGTATGTAGTGTATCCCCGGATCTTCATCTCTGGGTGTCTTGCCTCTTGTAGAAGGATGGCATCGGGGGCTCTTTCTCCCCAAGATTCAATCCTACACTTCAGTTCGTTTATCTTCCCCTTGATTCCTCTACAATTCCATTGAATAATCCGAAATGTCTTTTGTGGTGGTTCCCACCCAGACATGCTACAGCTGGCGGAATGCTCTTTCCATATTTTGAGTGGCTGTCTCCATGACTGTTACGATGGCCGATGTGACCGCCACCGTTATTGCTTCGACGCAATCTTTCATGGCTTCTTTGAAAATTGCCACCTTCTTCGCATCAGCCTTTATAACTGCAGCAAAAGACTTCTTGGCGTTTGTTCGTGTGTTGGCTTGACCGATAGTTTTCTCCGTTGTCTCTTGTGCCATCTCCCGCATCTGAATCGTTGTTGATGCACTCGTCGGTGCTTGCCCCTTTACCGGTGTGTAGATCGGCACTTTTAGCGCTGTCTTGTCGACCACCTGTCCTTTTGTTCGAGGTGCAACATCGGCCTTTATCGGCACCCTTTTGGGGCATTGGTAGCTGAAGGCCAGATGTTCCCCACCACAATTTGCACAAGTCGGGTTGGCGCTGCAGTTGTTCCCGACATCTGCGGTGTGCGTTTTGCCGCAGTTCCTGCATGCTTCGTTTTTTCTTTTTGCACTCCTCAGCTTTGTGCCCGATCTTGTGACACCGGAAGCAGACAACGGGTCTGGGTGTGTAGGGTACCACTGGTCTTATGACCTGGCCAATATATACTTTTTCCGGTAGGTCCTTGCCCTCGAAAGTAAACATTGCCGTCTTGTGTCTTTTCCCAATAAAGTTGGCAGATACGATCTTATGTGTTGGACATTTTGCATTTCGTAAATTTTCAGGGCTGATTTCGTCGCTCCATGCATAAATCACTCCTCTGATGTGGTTGGTGGGTAGACCAGAGATAACCTTGACTCCGACATTGCTGCCATCATTCTTCGTAAAACTCCCAATTTGTTTGAGTTTCTCGAATTCGCCTTCATTCTTGGTAGTAATTACAAAAGCTTCACTTCTCTTATCATGCCTGATCCTAATTCCGTTTTCATGCGGAATGCCAACTTTGAGTAGAGTGCGTTCTATCGTCTCGGGGCCGACGTTTATCGGCTCCCGTGGCTTTTCGTTGCGGATTTTGATCTTGTAGATCCCCGCGTTGCTCTTCTTTTTTCTGTGGACGACATCGATCCAGGGGTTCGGGTTCCTGTCGTCTTCCTTGCATGTTTCTTCGCTCTCTTTAGTAGTGACTGTTTCCTCGTTTTTGCCTGGCGTTTCGTCGCGTTCATCGGCTATATCCTCATCCGCCGAGGAATATTCCTCCCGCTCTGGAGTATTTGGTCTTAGCCTTTTTCCCTTGATCGCCTTCCACGTTTTCTCCTGTCCTTCGAGCCTCTCGAGTCGCTCTCGCAGCATTGTGTTTTC